TACACAATAATGTAACAGTAAAAAGAAACGTAGCAGTTGAACAACTATAGCTTCGTGAGTAATTGTTAACTTAAAGGTCCGTGGATCAATTCCCCGGCCTTCACCCCACATATACCTCTTTTAAAAGGTATATCAAGAGACACGGCATTTATGCGAACGCACGAGTTGCGAGTACCCATTTATTATTTTAAAATTTCATGTTCTTTAACTCTCCCAAGGTTCCCGGCACGTCGGTTGCGCTGCTACCAATCCGTAAACCGATTCCTCTTACGGCGTATCATGATTATACGTTAAGAGCCAAGAGGAAGATGTTTTTTATCTGGCGTTTCCCATGATATAAGATCTTCATCAATTTGTTTGCTTCGACTCTGTCTCAAAGACGTCTTGTTACGGCGTACTGTATGAGGAGTCCTAGGTAGCGCTGGTTTACTTTCGGCACATCCCACGCAAGTTTCTGTTATAACAAAATACGATTATACATGTATATCGAATATGGTGTAGCTAAACGTATACTCATAACATATATGATAAGATATTTAAAGATTTTTACCATCAAATGCAACACTTTTCCGAATTGATCTTTTCTTAACAATACTGTCTGTCAATGTTACATTCTCCACATCTATTGTATTGCTTTTACTTGGTGTCATATTTTCGTCTTTTTGCGATAATTTTAACGAACTTTTCATACTTGACTTCTTATTTCCCTCTTTACTTGCTCTTTTTGGAGTCATCTGAAAAACAAAAATTTTTTTTCTTTTTTCAGTTAATTTTCATTTAGTCAATTAATCTTTGGTCGACGGTGGCTGGGTCATCCGAGACCCAATGAATATGCGTTAGTTTTTGAAGATTACTCATGCGTCCTCTTTATATCGCAAGAATGTAAAAAAAATCTAAAACCTGAAAACTGCTGTTTTATATACTATATGTTTGCGCAAAGCGACTTTTTGATCATCCAATAAAGTACGGAAGTAAAAAATAACTCAGCCACAGCCTTTCAATGATTACGTCTTCCGAGAATTAACAGATTATAAATATATTTTAGATATATGTACATAATAGACGTATAGAAAAAATTGTACAAAAGGTTCTTATTAAAATATTCGGAATGTTATTTTATATTTAATATCAAGTGTTATGAATGCTAAACTGAAAAATGTAATTAATATCATTAAGAAACATTATAGCTCACCATTTTGCTCGTTCTACTGCTTTTGGGTGTATTATTTGCCGGGACAGTTCTATTTCTAAGTACTCTTGGTCCTAAATCAAGATCTCCCATGTCTTTTGAAATTATTTCAGTAGTAATGTCTATCTCGTCATCTCTGTTCGCACGTGTTGGAGGTGAAAAATAAATATCTACATGTTTCCTGTTTGATGCATCCTTGTGTTGAACTCGATTTCTTACGCTTTTCTTAGGTGATATAATCTCCACATTGTTTGGCGATGATTCTTCAATAAATACCGAAGATGTTATGTCGTTAAGTGGATGCATAATATTATCTACTAAAGTATTCTGAACAGATGATCTGGATTTATTTCGCTTCCCTGTTGTTTGTATCTCGGATAGTGATTTATTCAGATCGTCAAGTCTGTCAGAATCTTCAAAGTTTAATCTTTTTTCAGCATGAATGGCTGGCGATTGATACATATCATCCAAATCGAAACTGTCTATCCTGTTTAATGCAGCAGCTAAACTCAATTTAGTATGTGTTTCTTCATCAAGAGGGACCTCCGTTAGAACCACTTGATCATCAAAATTGACTTTATGCGCGGACTTTATACGGGCTTCCTTATTTTCTAATTCTTCCGATTTCTTTAATATGCTCTTGCCCGGCGTTTGATCGGAATTAACGTATGACACCGTGTCATCTAATTGAACTTCGGGTGTCTTACACATTCGACTTATTTTCATAGCTGCGAATGGACTTCTCATTTTTTTAGATTTTTCGGAAAATTGCACGGAACCTGTTTTAGAGCTCTCACGTCGAACAGGAGTTGACTTGCTATCGTTAAGATCATGGGATTTAGATCTCCTACTACGTCGAGTGTTCTCTTCAGTAAAAGATTTTCTATTACTCGGTTTTTCATTTATATGTGTATCTTGCAACAACAAATCTCCCTTGCTTAATGTTTCTCCTTCCATTTTGATTTTTCTGGCAGCAAGGATTAATGATCGCAATGAACTTGGTTTTGATGATACAATTTGTTTTTTAACAGGCATTCGTTTTTTAACGGCAGGCTTGGCGACTGTGTATTCCTCCTCCTCCTCCTTCCATTCTCTGTTTCGACGTTGCTCCAATTTCTCAAATCGCGTTTCACAGTCTTTGACCTCCATGTATGTCATATCCCAAAATCCTTGAAGATCTCTGCACGTAACCAGCATTTCTCCTTTACCAGTCTCGCAGTCGTGCACTAAGCTACGAAATCTCTCGAACTTTTTATTTATTAGCAAATTTGTCTGCCCTACCGCTGTTTGTATTTCATACGTAGCATCCTCTGGAACATCCTTCTCTAATCCAATATCCAACCATTTCTTACAAAGCTCCTTGAGTCTATCAGTTTCTTTATTCAAGAGAATTTTGAAGTACTGAGCTGTACGTTCCTCCTCTTCCACGCATATGTTTAAATTTTGCATAACCGTGTCTTTGGTGGGAATTTCGTCAGATGGACGGCCAATGCCCAGCCGTTGCTGTACCTCTTTTCTAGAATTCCTCTTCCCACGGCTTCGCGTGAGATACGGTGAAAAAACAATAAGATCTTCTAAAGAACAATTTTCTTTCTCCGAAGAATTCGGAGTAGACTTTTGCGACGGTGGCGTTTCTGTTTCACTGCTGCTTGATGAACAATTTTTTTCTTTCTGCAAGGCGTCTTGTATGTCCGTCTGATTCTTTGTCTGCTCCTTCAATGACGATCTTACTGTTTTAATTGCATTTAATTCATCTGAATCACGAATGGTCGATTTAATTAATTTCTGCGACGGGTCTTGCTCATTTGATGATAACCTCGGACCTGTGGAAGTTTCGTAATTCTTTGTGGTACTATCAGAAGTCTGTGAACACTTCTCCGACGGTGTGTATTTGTCTTGTGGCGTTTGTTTCATCGGTACACGACCAAATAGAGGTATCTGGTGCAAACCAGACGGAGGTCTAAAACAGTGATCAGGCGGGGCGAATGATTTCTGTTTCTTGGCATTAGAAGTCGACGTTTTGACGTTCATGAGATGTTTCGTCGGCACTGAAGTTAGATCACTTGTTACTTGTTTAGCAGCTTTAGCAAGTAATCGTTTCTCTGTAGCCCTCGTAATTCGTTTTTGAATATAATTTGAATGTTCTGTTTTCTGTGGTTTCGATGTTTTCGCAATTGATGCATCATTCTTGCTCACCGGAGAATACAAAGCGTGATGAACGATGCCTACTTTGAAAGCAGGTTTCTTCATGGAGGCTTCCAGTTTCTTCTTTCTGTTACGTTCCTCTTTCCATTTTAATAATTTATTCATACGCTCATCAGTAGGTACAGTCTCTGCTGAAAATAATAAAAGTTTCTTGTTCTTGCGTCTACACAATTTAATAAAT